TAGGATGAGTTTGATGGTTTTGTTGACAGCTTCGATCTGGCCATTGGCTTGGGGATGATGAGGTGAAGAAAAATGCTTTCTAATCCCTGAGCTCATCACATAAGTCCCTAATCTTCTTGTTGTCGAATTGTTTTCCATTGTTAGTGACTAGAGAGTAAGGTATGCCGAACATGTAGATGATGTTCTTCCAGAGAAATTTCGAAGTGTTTACCTCAGTGATCTTAGACAATGGCTCCGCCTCGACCCATTTCGTAAAGTAATCAATAGCAACAATGGCGAAGCGTGCGCTTCATCTTCCTTTGGTCAGAGGACCAATGAAGTCTATTCCCCATTTGGCGAAGGGCCAAGGACTGCACCCCAAAAATGGCTGGACACGTGGCCAATAGAATAAGTCTTCACGTCCACTTTTCCCTACGCACAATAACATGTCGTTAGTCACTCGTGGCCTTTTCCGATGAGGTTGGAGGCGGCCACGAGCATTCTGACGATCAAGTCAATATTCCAGCTAAGAATGGGGTATTTATACTAGCGAAGGGAAGAGGTGGATAGTTGGATAGAGGGACACGTGTCTTCAGATCTCTTATGAGCCGTCATCTCGCAGGCGTCAATCCGTCAATCCATAGTTGGCGGGTATTAAATGGTTTCTGACATGTCAGCTTGAATTGACCATTTGAGACCTGCCACACGTCTCATCAATAAGTCAAGGACTTGACTTTGGAGATCTCCTAAAAGATCTTGGTGCAGCGAGGAGGATCGTGAAGTGTCGGGTGCGGAGTGCGGGCATTTGCATTCGTCGTAAAGGGCGGATGAGTTAGGTTCTTCTATGGGGAGGGGTAGCAGTATTTCACTTCGAAGATATGGAATCAGTTCGTCTGTCACGTATTCAGCTCGTCTGCCACGTGGTAATGTCAGATCGATTCAGACAACACGTGGCCGATGAAGAGGGCGAACGAGGTGGAGGGGCTTCAGAAGACCCATAACAGTTGGCATACTACCTTGACTAGGGTATATTCACATTCCTTTATTGGGGGCGATCCTCTTTTCTATTATGTGAAAATTGCTTCTTTCGAGAGTGTTTGCTATATCATGATAATCATTGATATTGTGATAGTAGACTCGTTGAAAATTGCGATTCGGCTCTTTGGTCCTTGGTGCCTTTCGGGCTCTACTGTCCCTAGCCTAATAGTAGACCTAATAGTGTAAATTGCTATTCTAACCAATCTTTTATAGATTTTTTTCTTGATTAATCACCATAGTCAACAATAAATTATTTAAATTTCACTTTAAAGCATTAATATGCCATGTTGGTTTAAAAGTGAATAGGTGTGTTTAGAGCTTGTTTGGCAAAATTTTTATTTTATTATAAGCTTTAGATTCTATGAAATGCGTAAATAGTAAGTGGTTAAAAGTTATGAATTAAATAATTATAAATGTCGTTAAAAATGCAATTAATAGATTTAATGACCAGATTGACTCTAAGGTTCATTTGATTGCAAGGGTGAAAAATGAGTGGAAAGAAAATGAATTCCAGGGAAAATATTTGCCTAGAAATTTTTTTCCCACAAATTGTCAATTAGTTGCGTTTGATTTGTATAATTTTTCACCTAAAAATGTTGAGATTTTCCATCTTTTTGTGTTTGATCGACTTTTTTTTTTCCATGGAAAATTATGATTTTTTCCATCTTTAACTGTTTGATAGGCTTTATTTTCCATGTAATTTTTTCCCAACAATTGGTGTTTTATAGCCATTTATAATGTCCAACAATCCATGAACAAAAGATAATATGAAAAAATGGCTTAAAATTGAATAGTGTAAAGAAAAATAATGTTTCACCTGTGTAAGATTCTTCAGATAAGACACAAAGGTGGATTGCATTTTTTTCAATAGTGGGTTTTCTTCATATAAGAAAAATAATGTTTCACCCTAAACCATCTTTTCCAACTACGACTTAGTGGGTTTTTTTCAATATTGGAACCTTCATGTAGAATACAAAAGAAACGACAACCCACATTGTTTCCCAAATTAATACCCATGGGGGAATAGACATCCCAAAGTTGCATGATATATTCCCATTATACATAAATCATCTGGGCTACAAAATCTATCAAGAAAAAGAAACATTTTTCAAAAAATACATCCAGCTCTAGGGAGACTACCAAAAACTATTCATCCAATATGTACAAAAATTGCCCATTCACATGATTCTGTGTATCTAGCGTAGCGTAGCTTGCATTTCCAGTTGCTGCATCATTGCTAAATATTCTCTCCATCTCATCATATCTTGGACAAAGTTTGATCCTCCACTTCCCGAATTCTGGCTTTCCCTGTAAAGTAGAGATGAATGATTCAGCCACATGATGATTGTAAAATAACCCTTCAGAAGCTGGAAGTAGCATACATTTTTCATTATCAAAACTGATGCATGATGATTCTGCGCCAGTCTGCCAATTATGTGATCACAGTGAACAAAAATGTCATATAAAAATAAATCAAATTGAGTACATAATCCCCCTGCCATTTATCTGCACCGACAGTTGCTTATTTACATGGTTTATAAACAAAAGTACAAGCTAATCCATAAATCTTTAAAGCTGGAACTAATAAGGTAATTAAACTTTCTTTAGCATCCCCTCTAGAACCTCTAATGGAGCATCATTAATTAATAAATGACTAGAGTACCAAGACAGTAGAACCTATATGAAATTTATCTTTCAAGTTAACTAACAAGTTACCAGCAAACAAGTTGCCATAGCAATGCACCCAATCTCAATATCTGATACCAATTTGCACCTTGCCATCAATAACTTTTCCAAGTTCTCAACTTCTGCAATAGCAGCCTCCCCCAGCATTCGTCAACTCCATTACATTGGATAAATCCAATTCAACCAAACCCCTACCCTTGTTTGCCAAACTTAACAATCCCATATGAGTAAAAAATCTTGAACTTTTCCAGATTAATGGACCTCAAAGTAGACCCATATGCATTATATATAGACAACAGTACTCTGTCCTCTATGACAATCATCAGGAAGTTTTCTTACTCTTTTACTCAGTTTCCAGAAAATGAATCTGGTCAAGACACTTTCCATTGGAAACCCTTTCCATTGGCCACTCAACAAGTGACAAGATTTATATGAATACATATGGCCCCTGTCCTAGCAGCGTAAGTTTTTTTATGAGACGGTAACAAATCTTAATCACATAAATAATTACTATAATCAGAAAACACGTCTCTAGCTTTAACACTTCCACTCTCCTCTCAAAAGTTCTAGCACCAAAGACCTCTCCCTCTCTGTTCCACCCTTTCTCTCTCCCCTCACAAAAAGCTGAATTAATAAATACTACGATTCACAGAACTAAACAGTTAAAGAAGCTTAAATCACTGCAGAATATAACAACTTATCAGACACTCAACAATCTTTAAAACAAAATTCACGTTGATGAACCAAACCATAAATCAAGAAGCTAGAATTAGCTGGAGAAAAGAATTCTCAAGGCCTGAGAGCAACAACGTACAAGTTACAAGATGCGTGGATTTAGAAAAATTGGGATAAACAAACTAGTTAAAAAGCAGAAATATAAGTAAACTGATTGCAACAACAAGAAATGAGATGCAGAGAACAAAAAAAAAAAAAAAAACTTCAAATTGGGAGGGCATGGTTAACAAGAAGATGTTCAAGTCAAACAGACTACGGTAAAATCGTTAAAAAAGCTCAAGAGAAAAATTGGGAAAAGCTAAAAAACGAGAGACCTATATATTGTAAGAATTAATAATCTCATCAAAGACGACACAAATTTGCAAAAATTTCTGTGCAAGTCAAAATATACATTTGCCAATTACAAAAAATCCATTGGTGACATGGAAGAAAATTCAAGTACATGGGCATGGAAGAAAATCCAAAAATAACAAGTAAATCGAAACACCATTGGTGACAACCCACAGTTCGAAATGTACAATTCCAGCAAATGGGCATCGAGATTGCAGATGTAACATAGAGAAGGGCTTAAATCCGTAAACGAAACCGTGAAGTAGCTCAGTGTATGAACCAGCAGTGATGAAATTGCTGAATAGAAACCAAAAAAAGAAAAAAAAACAGCTAGGAAACCTACCTGTTTCTACGGCGGAGGAAGCGACGCAGGGTTCGCCGTGAGAGACGACTGCAGACAATGGTCGTCGGCTGGGTTCAACTAGAAAACGGTAGCAATCAACGTTGTGTGAGAGGGCGAATCGAACGACGTCCGGTGTCGAGAGAAGGTTTGGGGAAGAAATGGTTCGATTTTGTGGGGTTTGATTTTCCTGATTTTTGTGAAAAATGTTTTACCTACTCTGAGACGGGAAATATATTTCAAGGATTTCAGGGAAAAGAGGTCACGTGAGGGGAAAATAGGAAAATATTTTTCAGGTAAAATTTAATACATCAAACAGGGTGAGAAAATGGAAATTTTTTTCCACTTCCATTGGAAAATATGGCTTATCAAACATGGTCTAATATCACAATTAACTCATTTATAGTATTGTTCTCATATTTTGATAAAACTTAGTAAAAAAAAAAATCATCTTTTTAATTGGTCAAATTTTGATTTTAATAATACAGTTAATGAGATCCATAATTTTTATGTATTTTTAACCACACATTTAATCAATTTTTATCAACATATATTAAAATTTTATTACGAGCTTTGTCAATAATCCAAAAAGTTTGGTACTAAGATAATTAAAAATTAAATTAATTAAACTACTTGTGCACTCTATGTGTATATTAAGTTTGATATTTCAAGGTGTGTCAAAATCTGTGCCATTGTTAAAATCAACGTATAAAAAAAGGTCATTTCACAACAATGTTAAACTGTTAAAAATGACTTGTTATAAAAAAGGAAATTATTTATTTAGAAAAATAAAATCAAATATTCAATATCGATTCAAAAGCTAAGGAATATATAATAAAGTTTATGTGGAAAAGAGAGTTTATTCACTTTTGTGTAAAAAGACCATTTGCTGATGCCTAAAGCTATAAACCGTCGATTAAAAGGAATACAACATCCGCCGACCCAGATTGACCTTGAATTGACGGTAGATCAAATTGCACGATAGCCGTGTGCTCAAATGGAAAGCTAGAGAATAAAAATCGGAATATCTCGAAACATTACACTATTGGTCCTTAACTTAATTTTTCATTAGCCAATGGATCCTTATGTTTAACAATAAATTACACTATTGGTCCAACATTTTGTTATAAATCACAATAGGTTCTCAATTGGAATTGTAATGTTCATGTGCCTTTTTCACTTCTTCCACAGCTTGTCTTAGTTGTTATTTGAGTTTTTATTTTTAAGATGGGCATTGCTTTCGACTCGAAATGGATAATTTTCAATGTCTTTTGATAATGTCCTTACTAGTTTGATAGGCTAGTGAGCGATTTTTCAGACAGACACAAAATGAAATATAATTTTATAAAATTAAAAACATGGGTGACCAATCTAGACAGTTTATAGATCAGTGCAATTCCCACCCTCTTATTAGTTATTACATGAACTTCTACACGCACAACACATAACACACAATCTTTTCATCACCTCTCATAAGGCCAACCGAAACGCTTCGTATTTCCAAATTCTCTATCCCCTTTCTGACTGTAAGTAACACTTGCCTGATCTCAATATCAAGGTATTATTATTATTATTTTTTTAATTATTTTATCTGTTTTCTTGAGTGAGCATTTGTATATCTTTTTTAGTAACTGAGGATGATTGTTTGGTAAAGTAACTTCATCGACACCCGTTTTGTTTTCGAACGGTATTTGTTTTTTGATTTTTTAATCGACCAGATGGTTTTGATTTACTAGTGGTGAAGCGTGTTCTGCTTTTGATCTTTGCTATTGATGATTGAAATTTTTGGCAATCCAATGAATTAATTTTTTTCTAATTTTTTAATCGTGCTAATGGATTGTGATTTTGGATTTAGTAGTGTTGATGCAGTAATTACCTGTAATTTTAATTTTTTTATGTGGTTTTTCTTATTTACACTAGCAGAGTAGAACTGTTGGGTGTTTTTTTTAATCCGAAAACATTGGATGGCTATTTGGTTGGTTGTAGTTAAATTTTGGATATTATGTCTAAATTGGTTAATTGATGAAATTTGTATTACATAAAAAAAAAAAAAAATTTGAATCTCATTTTCCACAAGGAAAAATGCTATGCCAAAGTAGAATAGTTTTCCAAACCAGTCATTCTTGATCATCCATGAATAGAATGTTTTTAATTAGATTTGAATGATTGATTGTCTAACCATATTTCTTATCACCACGTGTCTAGTCTACTCAGTTGAATAAGGGGCTGAAAACTAATTCAAGGAAAGTTTGATCTTAAATATGTAATACTCACTCCATTGATGGTGTCTTGTTAGAAACTTTAAATTCATGCCTATTGTTATACCCATTTTTTTGGTAACAGTTTCCTTACCTTAGTATCTGTTGGTAATTTCCTCACTTTCTCTTAAATATTAGTTTAATTGAAGAGAAACTATTCATCAAAAACCCTTCGACCATAAAGTCGAACAAGTCTCTCAATTGTGGATTTGAACTGTGAATAGACATATGAACCATTTTAAAACTACAGGCATATTACATCGATGATCAACAAACAAAAACTGTATGCTGAAAAAAATGGTCACGTTAATATTGGAGTTCTAAATGCACTTCATCAATCTATCCTGTCTCATTGTGTTACAGACTCACCTATGATAGATTATATACTAATCCCTTCAAAAGTTTTTCTTACAGTGTAGGGTATCGTAACACTTGTTAGAAAACCACTGTCCATCTTGCATCCAATCATTCTTCACTATAAATCTGTGACGAATTTTGATTTCTACAAGTTCGTCTTTTTGAAGTGGTGAACCGCAAATCAAATTTGAGAAATAGTTAATACTTAATTTCTTGTGTCCAACACTTTGTCAATTAAAAATTTGTTACCAAAAGCATAGTATATTTGTGGCTTTTCACCATGATGATTGGTCCATTGCATGTACAATTTCTCAAAAAAATTCCATTTGTAATAAATTATAAATTTTTATTTGGCGGTGGGCCATGGGTTGGCCTCAACGTAGCTTGGGTCCTGCTAGTGGTTTAGTAAATTTGGCTAATCTCTTTCTTTTGCGCAGGGTATTATAATATGGCTGACAATGGTGGACAAGTGAGTATAAGAAGTTCGGGAAACACTCATGTTGTGCTCAATGAAAGAATTCTCTCTTCCATGTCACGGAGATCTGTTGCTGCTCATCCATGGCATGATCTGGAAATTGGTAGAGTATCTAGATCTTGAATGTTGGTCATATTTTTACATATAATATAAAATGAGTATCATTTATCTATCTAGTTTATGTTTAGTTACCACCTTGATCTTAGACTTGGTGGAATTGATTCTAGGTAGATCAGTATGTTTGCTGGTTTCCATTTTGTAGGTTTTTCCCTCAACCTCATGGTTATGATTTTATTTGTTTTAATATTAACTTTGATTTGATATTTGTGCAGGGCCAGGAGCTCCAGCAATTTTCAACTGTGTGAGTGGTTCTTCTGCTTATATACACGCTCGAAACTTTTACGCATAGCGAAATCCTCTTTGGTTCATCAAATACACATTACTGTATGTGAGCCAGAGTGGTATAGGTACCTCATGTTATTCTTTTGTTGTCATGTATATAGTGCAAGACTTGAGCAGACCATCCCATCTATGTTTACTATAATTATTGACTTCCATGTGAGCAAGTTTTTTGTGAAAAACTTATATTTTCGCTGTTGAAAATCTGTATTCCCTTGTATCCTGTCACCTTGCTATATTTATCTTACCCGAGTGTTGGTCAATTTTTTCTTGTAACATATCAAAACTTTACTGTGATGAAGCAAATAAACCAGTTAATTTGTAATTTCATATATTGATTCCAAGTTACATGGCAGGTGATTGAAATTGGAAAAGGCAGCAAAGTTAAATATGAGCTTGACAAAACCAGTGGCCTTATCAAAGTGAGTAATTATTTCATCTATGTGGCATGAATTATGAAATTACTTAATCCTCAAGAAATATCAGTACTTCAAATACCTGGTCCTCAGTTTTAGCAAAATGGACCGGAGCTAAATTCGTTTTTGTTCACCATCTACATTTCAAGATACGCTTCTATGTTTCTACTCGATATGCATGTCTTACGGGACTTGAAGATCTTTATCTCATATCATACTTCACCGATCTTCATTATCATCCCCATTGACGTTTCTTTTGGAATGAATTGTTTATTCTTTTCTCAATGTATATATTGTTATCCTTTTTATCTTAGTATTTCGTGTCTGCTGCTGTGCAGCATTCATCTTATCATAATACTAGGTGATGAAAATTTCCATATTCTCTTATTTATATGAGCACAGTTCCAAATTTTCCAATGTCCTTCAGGTTTTACTTTATGCATGCACTTCTCCTTGTCTCTGGGCACTTTGGTCATTCAAATAGAATTCCTTGGCATTGCTGTATTTGTACCTAAAACCACTTTATCATTATATAAGTTTTCACCGTTATGGCTTGCATTGCATGATTTTCCTCATTAAGAACTTTTTTTGGGACTTGTGTCCATTTTTTGTGCACCTGCATCAAGTAATCGGTGATTGTTTTTTTCAAACATTTATTTAGGTTGATAGAGTTCTCTATTCATCAGTTGTCTATCCACACAACTATGGTTTCATACCACGCACCATTTGTGAAGACGGCGACCCTATAGATGTTTTGGTCCTGATGCAGGTTTCTTTCATATTTACTAAGTGTGCTTTTATAGACGTTACATGAGTAATTTCTATTCCGACAAACTAATTAAAAGTGCTCAAAATGGATTCATTTTTTAACAGGAACCTGTACTACCTGGTACTTACTTGCGTGCACGTGCAATTGGATTGATGCCCATGATAGATCAGGTAAACGTCTTTGTGCAATTCAGAGTTCTTAATTACTCTTAATGAAGCGTGCTCGAGTTGTCATACTACTTTCAAAGACAGGTTCGAGAAATTGACTCTCATTTTGGTGTTTAACTATTGGATAGCTCGACCTACTTTAATTTTGTGATAATATTGATCGACTATACTTGTTACTTGCTTTAATATAACTTGGAAGAGTTGATATTTTCAGTTATAAACCATACCCCCTATAGAGAACTTATCAGCATACTGTTGACTTTTTCAGTGTGTATGACCTTAGAAATCTGTAGTAGTCTTAAAGTTGGTAGTTAGATTGTTCTTCCATGTAAATTTGGAACTGCTTTCATTTGGTTTGAAAAATAATTTTTCAGTGAATTGGGCTACAGGGTGAAAAGGATGACAAAATAATTGCCGTATGTGCTGATGACCCTGAGTTTCGCCATTATACGGACATAAAGGAACTTCCGCCACACCGTCTTGCTGAAATTCGCCGCTTTTTCGAGGATTGTATCCATCAAAATACTAATAGCGCTCATTGTTTCATACTCATGTTTTAACTTCTGGGCATTCATTTGTGTTCTTCACTCTCTTGGATATTTGGGTTCTACATCCTTTACTTCTATCGAACAGACAAGAAAAATGAGAACAAGGCAGTTGCAGTAGATGACTTTCTGCCTGCTGAAGCAGGAATTGATGCCATCAAATACTCAATGTGAGTCATCTGAAATTCTTCTACTTAAATTGAAAATCGACTATGTTGCTTTTTTTTTTTTTTATTCATACAAATATCTTAAGTCTGTTTACGACTTATAAGCAATTTCTACAGCTCCTATTGCATGCTTATCATTGCAGGGATCTATATGCCTCCTACATTGTCGAAAGCTTGAGGCAATGATTTGCTCAAAGCCTTTTCAAGCATGTTGGTGCTTGTTAACAAGATTTGGCAAAAGAAGCTGATAGTCTTCTTGCAGTATAACTACTCAACCTCATAACAATTTTACGTATTCTGTTTTGTCATTTTGTGTTGGCGATATGAATATAACCCTTGTGACATTATCTCGCGTTTAAAGATGCTTTTACATGGATGGTAAATAAGACACGTTAAACAACTGTCTTTGTCTTGATGCAAGTGGATAAAAAGGGTTTCGTAATGTCTGTCTACTGTGAAAAATTGCTGTTTCATGTTGGAATGGAGTTAATTACCATTACTTATCCAAAGCAAATAAATTTGATTTGACTTTTACATTTACAAATTACCAAAACAATCGGGTTAATATCCTAAATAGTCATTGAACTTTTCCAAAAGTTCCAAGGAGGTCACCAAATTTCAAAAGTTCTCTAAATAGTCATTGAACTTTACAATAAGTTCCTAGGAGATGATTGAGCTTCGTTAATACCCTAAATAGTCACCGAACTTTGCCATAACCTCCCAAGAGGTCACCGAACTTTGTAAATTAAGACCCATACATCAATGGTTGGATCAATTAGGAATTTTTTGCAAAGTTGAGTGATTATTTAGGGAAGTTTTGACAAAGTTCGATGACTATTTAGGGTATTAACGAAGTTCAGTGACCTCCTAGGAGTTTATTGCAAAGTTCAGTGACTATTTAGGGAACTTTTGAAGTTCGGTGACCTCTTGGGAACTTTTGGCAAAGTTTGGTGACTATTTAGGGTATTAACCCCAAAACAATCCCTTATTTTTCTCCCTTCATTTTGTCACTGTAATCTGGCTTTGCTTTGACCCTTCCGCCGAAAAAGCTTCCAATCATGGAAGAAAGCCATCGACCAGCTTGATGGAAATTTAATTGATAGAAATTGTGTTACTTGATGCCTCGTTGGTACGAACTCATAGTGTGGATGATGAGAGGGCATTGAATTCATTGTTGATCTCGAAAATGAGATTAATAATTTCCTCACTTAGGATTTTTCTCATTAAACTCGCTGATTTTATGCTTGATCAAGAGCACAAAAAAGAAACGATTATTTGAAAGCAGGATACTCAGATTTGCATGTCTTTGTTTTCAATTATGCCTACTTATAGATTCATTAGGTCATGAGTGCAATTAAGCCTTTGTTTGAGCCCATTTAGTTGAAAAAATAGATTTTATAATAGTGATTTTTGGAAGAATATGTGTTTAAAAAGTAAAAAATAGTTTACGTGTAAATTATTTTATTGGAAGAATGTGATTAAAAATAACATTAGAGAAAAATGAATTTTGAAATAATGAGACTCAAATTATTTCTGTTAATGATACTTGGCAATCATTGATTAACGAACTTCTAACTGAATTTGTTAGTTTTTCTCGTTTTATTCATTAGTCTACGTGTTCTTAATTTATTAGTTGTGAAGTCATGCTTCACGTTCCTATTCACGTGTTCTTTGATAATGATTTTTGTTGATGTGAAATATTTTGTGAAATTAGTTATAGTATTTTTGCTTGTTTATGTTCAAGATTGATTTTGAGGCTTCGCATTTTCAACTTTATCTTGAGCTCGCACATGGTCTTGGTTGACTTTAAAAATGTCAGCTGGCAGTAGTAGAACCTGATTGTATTTGAATTATGATGGCATTTGCTATAACAATTCATTGTAATAAAAAAGTCCAGAAATTTATTTTACTGAACTATTGGCTTGGTTTACTAGATAACTGACTCTCAGCGAAAACAAGATTGAATAATCAACAAATAGGGTATTGCAATTTTCGAGGTCAATCCACGCACTAATTATAATGCGTGATCTTATGAAAAGCCTAATTCATAATTGACATTTTTCAACGTGCAAATATTTCTATGCGAGGTCTGTACCAAATACATGAATGCGCATTTTCGTAAGGATGCTATTCAGATTTGTTTTCCCAAATTTCCATATTTATAGATTTCTAATGAGATTATAATTAAGTCCTATTTGATTAGTGAATTTCTAACTGAATTTTTTAACTTTTTCCATTTTATTCACCAATCCACGTGCCGTTTATCGATTGTGAAGTCATGCTTGACATTCTTATTTACATGTGCTTTGATAATGATTTTTGCTTATGTGGAGTAGCTGGTAAAATTAACAAAAATATATTTGCACGTTGCTTATGCAAAATATTGATTGTGAGGCTTCGTATTACAATTTCTCGCTAACCTTATCCCGAGCTCTCACATGATTTTGGTTGACTTTAAGGGTGTGTTTGAGTTACATTATTTTGGAAGAATGTATTTTAAAACAGTAGATTGATGGAGAATGTGTGGTTGAAAAAGAAGGAGAAGTTATTGATGTGATGAAAAATATTATTTTATTGAAAAATGTGTGGTTGAAAATGAGTAGAAGAATGAAAATAATAATTTTAATATGATTCAAATAGGGGCTTAATGTTTGCTGACAGAAGCATATGTTCGCTATTGATTATTTGTAAATTTTGGTTGACAATAGTATTAGAGGCTCAAAAAGCTCAAATGAGCAATTAGATTCGTCTGAAGATTTGACATTTTAGAATTGACCACCATTTTACAATACATGTTAAGAAATAAAAGACCCACATTTATTATAGATAAAATAAATAACTAATATAAAAAAGGATTTTGATTACTCGAAGTTGACTCTGACATAGTTCCTCAAGATCCATAAATTTGTCAATCTTATTATGCCTTTGTACGGGAAAGATTATTAGAAATTTCTTAGGAGGTATAGCAGTGGGGCCATGAAATGTGTGGTGCAAATGATTGAAATTAAAGTTTAATTTTGGCTTAGTAGAAGTAATTTTTAATTCATTACTCTTTATACCATGAACAATTTTTTATTTCTTTTGATCCTAAGAATATATATATTTTGACAAATTTGGTAATTACCTTCTAAATAAATTGTGAGTCTTAAAGAACGTTTGATAGTTGTTTATAACCACTTTAAATTACACCCTCCATCAGTAGCGGATCCAAGATTCGAGATCCACTACAACGACCACTGACTGTTGACCATTAACCGTAGACAATCAACGTCTGATCATTTATTAATTTTTAATTAAATAATATTAAAAATTCTCCAAACTATATGTAAATACACTAAAACGTAAAAATTATATACACCAAGTTTATCACATGTTGAAATATCAGTCTATAACAAAGTTTAAAATTTCGATTTCCATCAACAAGATTATTATTTATCACACAAATTCCCCAATTTATCATTGTCATTTATCACAAATCAGATTCATAGTCCACCTATATCAAATATTCTCAAATTTACAAATTCCTAATTTTCATAATCATAAATCTCAGTATTCAACAATAAAATCTTCAATATTCTTAAATTCTCAAATTCACAAAAATCAAAATCCTTACAATCAACAATACACTACACGCTTCCAAACACATCCCTAACTCATAAACATAATTTATAAAATATAAATCATAAATGATAAATCAAAAAGTTAAACTAACTCCGAAAGAACAAAAACCCAAAAACATTAAAAATAAAAGAGAGGAGTAGTATCACAAGTTACAACAGTGAAGGTCAATGGGCAGTGGCAGAGATCAGAGGCTGTCGGCAACTGGGACCGCTGGCACTGGGTGCGACTGTGCTAGACTTCAAGGCGGAAGAGAGGCATTGAGATTCCGTCAGCTCTTTCGGTTTGCATTTTCTACTTTGCAATTGAAATTTGGGGACATAAGATTGGGTTTGGGCATTTGGTTGGGACTTGGACCTTTTTTTTTTTTTTAATAAAAAACAAGAGGCCCAATAAGTAATGATAAAAAAGCCCACCATCACAATTAAAAACAAAAAAAAAAGGGCCCAATCTTCATCTTCAACCTCAACGCCTGATTCTTTTTTCTTGCTTCTCTCTTTCCATTTCCGATCGACGACAGCGAGCCAGCATGCGCGGCCGCACCCCTCGTCGGGTACTAGCTCCGCCATTGCCCTCCATCCCATAAAGATATTCATATTTCTTTTTTGTTTTACACAAATTTAAAAAAAAATGAGTTAATATAGGTAAATAAAAAATTTTACTATCATTTTTCATAATATGCCCTTACATTAATGTAATCAATATTAAAAGTAATTAATTATGAATGCAATATTTAAGGTAATTAAACTAGTCTCGGTATAAATCATGTTTAATGGAAAATCATGGTAATGAACATTCCAAATCCATCCAATACAAATACAAATAAATATGATTTTTTTTTTTTTTAATTTATTGCTCCAACTACAATTGAATAATGGAGTAGTTTATATTTGTGATAATAAAAAACATGCCCATATTAAGAAACTAATATATTAACTACACTATCAAATACGAAATAGAACTATAATTTGGGACGGACGAAAAAGGAAAAATATGACTATTTTTATGGAATGGAGAGTTAGAATTCAATGAAAAACTGAATTGAGAGCTTAATAACTAGAAGAAGAAGAAGAAAAGATTTTATTCGATACAATACAAAATACAATGGCTGCTAATATATACAAAATGCTGGAATGGTGAGCAAGTAAAAGAAATACAATTGCACGTGAAGAATCAATGCGGTTACATCAATCAATTGGGGTCTCAAGTGTACAATCAGCTCACAACCTGAAGCATGAATATTCCAGTACACAAGCCTACATTGGAGTGTGTTGATCAGCTAGTTTTATAGCTACTTGTATACATATTAACATCCTCCCCCAAGCGGGAGTTTATCCATTAACTCCAAGCTTGTCTTTAAGAAACAAGAACCTGGAATGAGCAAGTGGTTTGGTTAACAAATCTACGGTTTGATCAGATGATGGAATGTATTGTATCTTTAACTTTCCTTCATCAACTTTATCTCTAACAAAATGTATATCTAGTTCAATGTGTTTAGTTCGAGCATGATAAACTAGATTAGAGGCTAATGCACTGGCACTTAGATTATCACACCACAGAATAGGAGG